AATGCACCTGCTCTCCATTGTTGAGAGGTATGTGGTGGTCTTCTGCAGAGCAAGCATCTCACCACTGCACTGACCAGACAAACTTTATCTTGTTGCATTGCAAGTCTGTTTCTGGTGGCCTTTGGCTGATTGGGCTTTACCACCATGTTTTTAGTTTTACATATTCTTAAGAGGCACAGAACTGAAAATGAGTGATATTTGGGGTATGAATGTGATAGAGGGTTTCATTAAAAGAGTATAGATGAATAAAAGCTATTAGAGTCAAGAATGCAGAGGATTTTAAGTTAGTTTATCAGTTCAGATATGCAAGTAATTAGAAGTTGTCCTTGCTGATGACAAGGTAGAGAGATGGAGAGGAAAATTTTAGTGCAGGTTCTAAAGTATTCAAGGAGTGAGGAATGGCAGGGAGATGAATGCAGCAACCAGGAGGTGTTGTAGTTGCAACGTCATGGATCTCATAGGAGGCAGAATGTGGGAGTGAGGAAGAAATACAATAATTTGAGAAAGGCAATTGGGATCCACTCAATTCTGATCAGTGTGACCTACCCAAGGAGAAATGCTTAAGCACTCTCTTCTATTTATCACATGCTTGAGATATATCAATAGCTTCAGTTCACTTTTATGCATAACTATATACTTTGTTTGTTAAATCTATGGCCAGCCTATTGGATAGGAATTATTAACCCCATTTTAGAAACCATGAAATTGAGTCTCAAAGAGGTTAAACAGTTTTCCTGAGCTCATACATCTCCAATTGAACCCAGGACTCCTGGGTAAAAAGGTCACACCTTTGAAAAATTGGGTTTTTCAAACTATTTTTTTTCAAGCATCCATGGATAAAAATTTTTTAGGAAATAATAAAAGTACTATGGAACTACTAAAAGTTAAATATGAACAAAATATAAATGCAGTTTTATTATTGGAATTAACACACTTGAATTTACTCTATTACTCTCTCAAATTTTAATGAAAGTGTGTAACGGTTGCCCTCAACTTCTGGCCCATGGTTTGTCATGCAGTAGTAATGAACAATTTGCTCATGGCCACCAGTCTATGGACCACGTTTTGAGTAACAGTGGCCTGTGCTTTGTTTTTGCTTGCCTACTCACATTACTCCATGGCTCTCTCCCCACTACTTGAAGTCCCCAGCTAAAGGGACTGTTTTGTCTGCAGTGTTGGAATCAGAGCCCTGATGGGACTGACTCTTGTCTCTATCTCTCCAGCCAAATTTCTGTTCCGACAGTTCTTTGTCCAAGTCTCTGGGCCAAGCTTCCATCAGGACCCGTGAAAATATACCTTTGTCAGCACCTGACCTATTTAGGCCACCTTCCCTGACCAGCCCCTTAGGTGCAAAGTAAATCATTCTTTCTCTTATATTTCTGAGCTGCTTCTGCATTTCTTCATTGTAGTTCATATGAGACTGCATGATAAATTCCCTCCGGGTTGAAATTTGTTTGTTTTGTGTTTTGGATAGCAGGGCCTCAATTTAGTTTGGATGGTGTGTTGATTACATTAGTGATGGGATGAGTGATGGGTTTGTTCTCAACTTCTCAGGGCTCATGGAGCACTGACCACTGCCACTGTCCAAAAAGATGAATAGTACAATTTAATGCAGAAGAAGAATTGAGCAAGATGCAGATCTACTGGCGATCACCATTGTGAAGATTTGGCCTTGCTCCTTGTTCTGGATTTGCAATCCACTCTGCTTCTTGAAAACAATGTAAGTACTTTTAAAAGGGCACATAAACTAAGGAGGCTCACATATTACAGTGAAACATTTTGATGGTTTTAGGTTGCAGGATATTTTTTCACATGGGGTCAGAGAATTCTGGAATGGGGGTGCTCAAATGATTGGTGCAAGAAGTAAGGGAATCCAGCCTTGAGCAGAACTTGAGGATGGAAAATGATGGTTATGACTAGCAAAATGAATTAATTGGAGATGCCTCATCTTATCAGAATGTGTGAAAAGAGCTGTAGCAATAATGGATCTTAATGGTAACCTTTAGAAACATGAAAGAAGGTGGGATATCTAATGTACTGATTATTGCCTGCTCGCTCAGTGGAATGTGGATATTAGATGCCTTAGAAGAATTCCTTGAATTGTTCTGTTGAGCAGTGAGAAGAAAAGAGTTCCAAGAAACTTAAATAGGGACCATCCTGTGTATCCTGAATTCCAAGGAGAATTGGCTTAATTTTTTTTTTCTGTAGCTAAATAGTCACTAATCAAAGCAGTAGTTTTCTTTTTTCCCTTTTTCAGTTCTAATGCTACTTTTCATATTGACTCAAAGGTTACCTTATTGGAAAGTACAGTAGCATTATCCATCTAATGCTAATAAAGTAGTTAGCTATTGTTCTGAATGTTTCCCATGCTCTTGAGACCAAGAACTTTCTCCTTCACTTTCATTAAGTAAGGGAGAAGGAATTCCAAAGGACACATGACATATAGCTGTCCCTTTGGGAAGGGCAGCCTGGCCTTAATGACTCACCAGGCTTGATAAGGTCTGCTACAGGAGAGAACATATTTCCCAATGGGGCAAGCAAAAACAGCCCCAGGGGATTCGATGTAATCTGTTACAGGCTCCCTTTTCTCCCACCATCCCTACAGATAACCATCCTCATCCTCACCGCATTTATGTAACTGTGGTCCTTGACCAAAGGGAGCATTCAGTGGTTTACAGTGTCAAGTATTCAGTCCACAACTACTTATAAAACGAAGTGGAAAACTTGTGCTCTATTAGATTCTCTTTGGGTTTTATCCTCAACAATTCAGGCTCTGAAGGTCAGTGTAATATTTCTGGATTTTTGTTTAAGTATTCTACATTTGTATTTGTTACATGAAATGAAAATAAAAGAAGCTATCTCGTCAACTTAGCTCTGAACCACTGTGGAACCTGTGGCCTCAGCTGGGGATCCTCTGTGGGATGGTTATTCTGACCACTTGAATCAGGCTGCTGAGCCAGAGCCACGTCTGTGCTTGTGTAACTGAAACTATGGAAGGAATTGCAGAGAAACCACCAGATATTCAGGTTGGATGAAGCTCACATAGTCCTATGCCTTCTAGTCACCATGCATTGAGTGAAGGGATAGGTGAAAATCAGAGTCCCTTCTGCAAGTGGGCAAGCATGAGTGGGTAGCAGAGTGAAGAGCTCGAGGAGGAAACCCAGGTGGGCAGTGGAGGGAGGAAGAGAGCAGCAAGAATCAGTTACCTCCTTATGCATCTGAGTGGCATAGTCCAAAAGTGGGATGGTATCATATATTATACTTCAAGTCTTATTTTTGTGTTTGAAGTCAAAATCTCCTCCCATGTGTTACAAGTAGAGCTATATATACTTCTCACCAGAAAACCTACCAACACCTCATTTTTACCTAACAAATAATAGTTACTTAGCCTTGATGTATGACCACACACCTTTGGGTACTCGATAAATATAATTTCTTTTAATCTCACACCAAAGCTGCATTACAGAAACAATTATACCCATTTTACAAATGAAAACACTGAGAGGCACAGAGGTTTCATGTGGAAGTTAAAACAACTGGCCATTGGGAGGTCTAGGACCTCTTTTTCTCTCCTGACCTTGATAACTGCTGTCAGCACAGATGGAGGCTCACACAGTGTGCACAATGATGCAGAGGTGGCCCCACAGTGCTGCCTGGTGCTCAGACCCATGCTCCACCCCATGCTCAGCCCCAGTGTGTATTCAGAGGTAAACAAGGACCAATGTGAGGAATCTGAAAATTGTGCCACAGATGGAATGGCCAGAGAACTATAGATACTTAATTTTAGGACAGAAAAGGCAGTAGAGGCAAGCTACATATATTCAAATATGTCACAGTTTTTCTACAGAAAGGACAAAGTTTGCTCCTGAGGATCAATGATAAGATGAAAAACAGACTTTTAATGATAGAGCTTACAGCAATGGCAGCCAGCTACCTGTCACTAGAGTAATTTAAATGCATTTAATGAAATCAAAGAAGAGATAGAATTTACTTTTTAATGAACTGTGGATTCCCAACTATTGGTTCATTATATCTTACTATCCATTGAGTTAGAGAACGAAGTCCCACTACTGGAAATATTAAATGCTTCGTAATAGAAAAATAAAACCTTTCAATGATATTTTGTTCTGATATTTACCACTTAGGGTAAGTAGGTACAATGTTAAAAACTGAAATAATGTTGTTAGCAGAACATTGTGTTTCCTTGCAAATTAGAACCAGTAAGACTGAGTAGAAACCCTCAGTTTCATGTTCACATGACTCTTAATAGCACAAAAATTGCAAGGAAACACATATATAGAAAGATACATTTAGAAAAGTAATTGGAGATAAATTATGAAACTTCATGAATACCATGCTAAGGAGTTTGATGTGTTTTCCATTCAGCATTTCTGATATGAATATTCTTAGGAAAATGAGGTATATTCTATTGATGATATTGATTGAAATGTAAATGAAAAAGTAGAGTATATTACGTGATTACACATATGTAAATACTACTTACTTATGCCACCAAATTATAATAAATCAAAATGTATTGTGAGGCATTATTAAAGATGTGTCACTGAGCCTTTCTTTAGTCATTAATATATGTTAAAATAGTAAAAGCAAATGCATACAGAACGGATTTATAAACCTGTAGGTTGTATCAGCAGGGATTTTTATTTAGCTGAAGTTAATGGGCAAAAAAGATGTGCATAAGTGAAATTTTCAGGAAAATTAAGTAGCAATTAAATTATTTTATAATATTTTACAGAGATATTTAAACATTAATTTCATACTTCTATTTTCTCATTTTGATAAGCATAACTTTCTTTTCCAATTTTCACCAAATCTTTAGTATGTCCTATAATTATTGCATTGTACTATAATTTCTCTGTCTTCTCTTATTATTCATCATAAATTCTGCTTTTGCAGAACTGCCTCAAAGCAGAGGAACTTTTTCTTTGTCAGAAGACAATGGCAAAACATGGGGAAGCATAGAAAATATTCACCTTTCCCTCAGCAGGAATAATTCACAGACAACATGGAGGTTGGAAACCATACCAGCGTGACTGAGTTCATCATTTTGGGGTTAACAGAGAATGCTACAACTTGTGTCATTTTATTTATTGTGTTTCTAGTAATCTATGTTGTCACCTTAATGGGCAACATCAGCATAGTCATGTTAATCAGAAGCAGCCCTCAGCTTCACACACCAATGTACCTTTTCCTCTGCCATTTGGCGTTTGTAGACATTGGTTGCTCCTCATCCATCACACCTGTTATGCTCACAGGCTTCCTCAAGAAAGGAACCTCTATCAGTGTTGATGGTTGTACAACCCAGCTCGGTTCTGTGGTCACATTTGGGACAGCTGAGTGCTTCCTGCTGGCTGTCATGGCCTATGATCGCTATGTGGCCATCTGCTCCCCACTGCTCTACTCCACACACATGTCCCCCAGAATCTGCATTCTCTTAGTGGGAATGTCCTACATGGGTGGGTGTGTGAATGGTTCGACATTTACTGGCTGTTTATTGAGTTTATCTTTCTGTGGCCCAAATCAGGTAGATCACTTTTTCTGTGATTTCTCCCCTTTGTTAAAAATTTCCTGCTCAGATATCTCTATTGTTGAAATTATTCCTTCCATCTCTTCTGGGTCCATTATTGTGGTCACAGTGTTTGTGATATCTGTTTCTTACATCTGCATCCTCACCACCATCCTGAAGATGCGTTCTGCTGAAGGACGACATAAAGCCTTCTCCACCTGCACCTCCCACCTCACTGCAGTTACTCTGTACTATGGAACTATTACCTTCATTTATGTCATGCCCAAATCCAGCTACTCAACTGACCAGAACAAAGTGGTGTCTGTGTTCTACTCAGTGGTGAACCCCATGTTGAACCCTTTCATCTACAGTCTGAGGAACAGAGATGTGAAGGAGGCCCTGAGAAAGGCAATTGTCAGATTACATTCTTAGGATCCATTCTTACCATTTCAGAAGTCCTGGAAAGTTTGTGTTTATCTGTTTCACACTGAGGAGCTACTAAATACTGCATAACTGATTACTTAAATTAAATTCGTACCTCTTTTAACTCTCATTTTTATACACTTGTAAACCAATTATTATTTCTATAATTATTACTATTATTAGTACTGCAGGTGCCAAGCACTTTTTCTTATTTAATTTATTTAGCAAACAAAAATTTGTCCTTATTGTGTCAAGCCCTATTCTAAGCACATTACACTTATTAACTGGTTTATTGCTCACCAAAACTGCCGTTAAGTAGAACTAGTATTTCTATTTTACAAATAAATCATTTGGGGCACAGAGGCATTAAACAGATTGCCTAAAATCATACAGCTAGGAGGCTGTGCATCCAGTGGTTGAATGCACAAACTTTGGGTCCCAAAGTGCTGTACTTCTCCATTTAATTTTTCTAGCAACCCTATGATCCCTGTCCTGTAAGTTTTCCTCAATGTACAGATTAGAATCCTGAGTCTCAGGGAGATCCAATAGTTTGTCTGGAGAGAGGTGGACTCAAGTACTCTGATTCTATGCCCTTAACCTCTACTGTGATGCCACTCATCAATCTCAGGATTCCAGCTGTTACTGTTCCAGAGGATTTGCATAGTGTGATCAAGCCTCAGTCTGAGTCCCTTGAACAAACTCTTGTCCCAGAAAGGTCTAGGTTGTGAAGATTCCAAAACAAAGCATAGGATGGGAAAACTGGGTTGATTCCCATCTTTTAGAAAATTAGGTCTTAAGATTTGACTGGAAGTTTATCTATATTTAAACACATGTTAAAAACAAAGAGTCCCATTTGACACAATATAGTTTTCTTTAATGGTAAGAATTAAAAAGAGTATTTTTACATTCTAAGCCTTGAAATTAAGTTGTTAACATCAATCATAGTTCCATTGTCTGGATTTACAAGGAAACTATAACCCATTAAAAACTGAAAATGTTCTCATAGATTGCACATAAATGTATTTCTTGGGTAGTGATCTACCCTCATTTACATCATCACCATGAAACTAGAAAGGGTCTGGACTCAGGAATTCTCAGCTCAAAGCAGTTGATTACTGTTGAGAGCATCTGAAAGCAAGACTTAGACCATGCAAGTCCATGTCTCAGTGTAATGGGATAAGAGAAGTGAGCATTGGGAGGTATAAAGGAAAGATATAATAAATACAAAGATGGAAGTAAATGTTCATACCAAAAACCCTAAGACATCTACAAATCATTTTATAACTAATTTAGTAAGATTGCAGGATAAAAAGTTAATACAAACATTATTATATTATATGATAGCAAACGACAGGAAGGTTAAAAGAGAGGAGTACATTTAAAATATGCCAAACCCCACAAATATTTAAGAATAAAGTTCTCAAAAAGTCTGTAACACTTCTTCACTAAAAATTATAGAACACTGATGAGAAAAAGAAAAATGACATAAATAAATGGAGTGAGAGAAACCATGTTTATGGGTTGGAAGACTTGATATCATTAAGGGACTGACTCTCCAAACATTGACCTACAGATTCAATGTAATATGGATAAAGAATATAAAAGGGCTTTTATATGAATAGAGAAGCTGATTATTTGTGGATATGAAAATAAGCCAGAAAGTAAAAGTAATTTTTAAAAACAAAATATTTGGCTGACTAGCACTACATGACTTCAAGACTTACCATAAAACCAAAGTAATTATGACAGTATGGTATTGATGAAATGATACACATACAGATCAAGAGAGATAGTCCAGAAATATATCCACATAAATATTGGAAATACACACATACACACATATGTGTATATATATGTATATTGATATATTTTGACCTGATGTAAAATGCAATTCAACAGGTGAAACGTTTTGAGCATCTGTTACTTGAAAAAATTTGTGTTATATGAAAGTAATGAACAACAACACTTATCACAGGCCATGGAGAAAGATCAACTCCAAATCTATCACAGATATGCATACAAAACACAAAACTATAACATTTTTACTGCTAAATATATGAGGAAGTATTTATAACTTTGGATTAGGCAAAGGTTTTTAGATAGGACTGAGACTTACAAAAAATAACAAAACTGATACATTAGATTTCAGAACTGAAAACATTTGCTCTTCAAATATTTCATCTAGGAGACTGAAAGGGAGAACATGTTACATCAGGAAACACATATTTATGAGAAAAGGCTAAATATAGAATATATAAAGTATTCTTAGAACTAAATGAAAGGAAGGCAGCCTACTTTTTAACATGGGAGAAAGCTTTGAATATGTACTTTAAAGAGGAGACATACAAATTACTAATAAGCAGCTGAGAAGATGCTTAAAACCACTAAAAAATTATAAAACCATTAGAGTAGCTAAAGTTACAAAACAATGCCAAGAGACAAGAGTGAAGGACCCAAGATGGCAGTGGAAAAAGAGAAGATACAGTCACCTGCTCTCAGGACCAACTAGACTTACAACTAAAACATAAAACAATCGAGAAGAAAATGGGGCAGACCCAAGATGGCAGAGGAGTAAGTGAAAGTTATACCAACATTTTCCCAGGATTAATCTGGAATTACAACTAATTCAAAGACAAATTATCCTGAATAACCAACTGAACACTAGCTGTAGAGAAGCCTAATGCCCAAGGACTGATGGAAGAAACCACATCACCACATTGAGATTGGTATCTAGTGCAGGGACATGAGAGGGCTGGCTGGACTCCCAGGGCAGCAGCAGAAGTCCTGGAGGGATGTTTCAGTGGCAGGGTGTTCCCCCTGAGAAGTGAGGGGACTAAATCCCAAGCAGGGCTCCCCAGCCTTGAGCACCAGAACTGGGAAAGGAACCCCAGTAACACCTGGCTGTAAAAAACAGAGGGTATCTGTCTGCCACATAGAGATGGCTGAAGATGGATAGAGCCTCTTAAAGAGGTAATGCAAAAATATCACTAGCAGCCACTTTACCCTAGGCTCCAGAGGAGGGAGGGCAGAGTAGATTAGAGATTCTCAAGGGCAGTCTGGTGTTGGTGGCTCTATGGAGAGAGCTGAAGGATCAGCCACCAGGATCCCTGTGCTGAATCCTTCCCCATAATGCTGAAGCCATCGTTCTTGGTTAGAACACACTCCACCGAGCAGCACAAGCCTGAGGGGAAGCAATGGCCACAACCACAGGAATCCTTCCTGCCCCACCCTGTGCAGCTTAAGCACCAGCTGTGGATCTCTGATCACTCCAAGCAGATTGCCCAGGGCCAGTTACAGGCAGTGTCCAACATAGGGTGGCACCAAAGTCTTTGCAGATCTGTGTAATGCATTAAATACAAAGAACCAGCTAAAATGGGAAGACAAATAACTAGGCCCCAAATGAAAGAACTAGAGCGTTCTCTAGAAGAACTAAATGAAATGGAGGCAAGCAATTTTTGTGATATAGACTTTAGAGTAATGATTATAAGGATACTAAACAACGTGAAGTACATTGTGTTGGGAAAAAAAGTTTGTTTAGCTTCTTTCCGTACAATAAAAGGCACATCTTTCATTTTCACCAATAACTAGTAATTTGCATGAGAGTATGTCAGCTACCTCCTGATATTGGCTTCTTCTGTGTAGAGGCCAGGGGTGCTGTCAAACATCTTCCAATACATAAGACAACCATACGGGAAATAATTATTTGTCCAAAATGTCACGAGTATCACAAAACATTGAAAACCACTTTTGACTCATCTGGTCACTCAGCAACTTCTCCATACACTGGACAAGTATATATATTTTTTTGCATTTCAGCATCATCTTTATCTTTCTTAAAATAGTAAAGTATAATGCAATAAAAATGTTCTGTATCTTCCTCCATCTTCAATATCAAAATAGCTACACAAAAGTTCAACTTTGATTAAGTATTTTTTAATGCACACTGATATGAGAGCTGTCAGAATACAATCAAACAGAATTACTTCAAATGAAGTTAAAGACAACTGAGCACTACTAGAACAATCATACAGAAAATATAAATGAACATTTTACTCAACCTAATAGAAAAATCCACCTCTATAAACTACTGACTTGCTGAACAGAAGTCTTATAACCAAGAATTTACAGAAGAAGCCACATCAAGACTGGTAAGAAGGGCAGAGACATGAAAAGGGCTGACCCCACTCCCACAGTGGTGGCTGAGGTTCTGGAGGGATATCTCAACTGCAATTCCTATCAAGACACAGCAACAATGTGTTTCAGAGAATTAGAAAAGTGTTCCAAATATGTATAGAGAACCATAAAGACTCTGAATAGCCTCAACAATAGTTGCCTATCTGAATTAATCAGTGTTCAACCAAGGACATAATTGTGGAGACCATCATTTTGTGTACTGGCCAGTCACAGCTGTAGCAAGATCTTATATATACATTTACTCAGTCACTTGAATCAGGATGAAATATTCAACAGATCAGTGGACACAACTCAAAGCCAGCAGAACCAGTGATTCATCACACAGCAAAAGCTTCATTCAGCTAGCCATTCATTTATTAATTGTTTCATTTCAACTAAGCATTCATGCTAACTATGGTTCAGGAACTGTGTGAACATAGGTGCATGAGGAGAGAGGAAGGACACTATAGCTGTCTAAATGAAGCTTCCAAAATTGGGGAGAAAACAAGTACTGAAAGTTCAACTGTAATGTGCATTGGGTATTCTGAAGAAAATATACAGGGTTCTACAGGGGGATAACAGGTGTACTTAATTTGTTAGGAGCCTGAAGACTTTCGAGAGGATAGAAAACAGCACTTAGGTTAGTACCTATACTATCATTAGGCATTGTCCAGGTGAGGGGAAAAATACATTTCAGGTGAAGCTACAGCATATTACATGGTCCTGATGTGGTAATGAACATGTGCATGTTTAAGGATTTAAAGTAAACGCTTCTGCACAACTAAAGCAAACATCGGCAAAATGAAAAGGGATCCAACCATATGGGAAACTATATT